GGGTCTTATCTCCACTTTGACATCCATGAACATAAGTGCTACCTTGGTGAACTTAAACTGTCCTATGGATCTCTGTTTTGAGTTTATTTCTTTGAAGATATGTGATCAAGCAGCAACACGGAGATGGACATTTCCAACGTTGTAGGCAAACTTTTGAGCTTGGGAGATTGAGTGCTACTATGTCCATCAGTTAGAGCTAAGTGGAAGCAAGAGTATTTCTCTGCAACTATACTCTTTTCAGAGAAGATGACCATTAATAGGAGCTCTTCTAAATCCTCTACATTCTGGCTTCCAAGCTCATCATTCAACTAAAACTATTCTCTCCAAAGTTACCAATGAGCAGTTGATTATTAAATCTAATTGCCTCTTCTCAGTCCTTATCCTATGGGATACCTGACCTACCTGCAGTGTTGACCCTGTTGATCACCTTCTCCTGGTTGCTCCCTCCTCTCTAGGCCTTTGTTGCTCTGCTCTCTCTTGGTTCTCCTTTCATCTGTCTGATTACTACTTCTCAGCTTCCTTAGCTGGATCTTCACCCATGACAAAACCACTCACTGTGTCCTAATGCTCTATCCTGAGCCCTCTTCATTTTCTCTCTATAATTTCTCACTTAGTGATCTTATCAGTTCCCATGGTTTCCTTTGTCATATCTATACAATTTCCAGATCTATATGTCTACATCTAGCTTTAATTTCTCTGACTGGAGCTCCAGTCCCCCATCAGCAATGGCATATTGAGCACTGTAAGGTGGATGTCCTGGAAACATCTCAAACTCAGAAAGCCTGAAACATAAGTCATTTTCTTCCCCCCTCCCCCAACTTTTCCCTCTCCCAAATTTCCCTACTACTTCCAAGGGTACTATCATCTCTCCAGTTACCCAGATTCCCAACATTGGTGTTAATGACTCACAGAATCACTGAATTTGAAAGATGGAAGGAAACTAAATAGATATCTATTCCAAACTCTATAGAGAGAAATTCCTACTATAACATATCTAGCAAGTGATCATTCAGTGTCCCCTAGGAGGGAGAAACCACCATCTCTTGAGACAGGCAATTCCAGATGTTCCTCATTCTCCATCGCAATACATATACAATCAATTGTCAAATCTTGTCATTTTTTTCCACAACACGGTTCACATATATTGCCTCCTCTCCACTCATACAGGCACCACCTTAGTTCAGGTGCTCATCACTTTTGGCCTGGACTACTACAGCAGGTTTTTAATTGGACTCCAGGGTCACACAGTTAGTAAGGTGTAGAGCCAGACAGCCAGGTGATATAGTGTATAGAGCTCCAGACTCAGAGTCAGGGAGACCTGACTTCAAATCTTGCCTCAAGTGCTGTCTGATCCTGGGCAAGTCAGTTAACCTCTTCTCTGTGCCTTAGTTTCCACATCTGTGAAAGAGGGATACTAATAGCATCTACCTCCCAAGGTTATTGTGAGGATCAAATGAGATAATATATGGAAAGTACTTTGTGAACCTTAAAGCCATATATTTATGCTAGTTAATTTCCATCACACCATAAGTCTAGAAACAAGGTAAAAGTGGAAACAGAACCTAGCAGACAGCTAGCTGGTAGTTTCCTATGCCTTAGAAGAGTATATATTTGCCCAATTAAATTTAATTAAGTGTTTATTAAGCACAGCAATAGAATTAACATTGCCAGTCCCCATGGAAAGGATATATGAAGTGATTGCCCCATGCCTATATTCATCAACCTTGTGGCTTCCCAGACTAAAAAGGACTTCCTCTGGGCCAGGCATTGCTGGGGAACAAAGATGAATAAGAGATAGTACTTGTCCTCATGGAACTTAGAGTCTATTGAGAACTGCACATACACAACTATAATTCAAGGTAGCATGTACTAAGCAGTCCAATATCCCTGGATTCCAATGGAATGGTGACCTTATGGATATGGATACTTCTTCTAATTATGCAAATCAAAATCCTTCCATGCCTGTCCATTCTGAGCAACTATGGTGGATCAGAGGTAGGAGAAAGTTAAGAAGTTGATTGAGTATGTGCATGTGGGGAAGGGTTGGGATAGGAAAGATTAGGGGAAGGTGTCATTTTAGGTAGGTCATGAAGAATGAATAAAAATTTGACAGATGGAGATCCCAGTGAAAAGTATTCCAGATACGAAAAAAAAATTACAGAGGCCAGGAAATTTGGGGCATGTCTGGAGAACTATGAGTAGCCCATTTGACTTTCCTGAGCATGGTCTGGCCTGAATTTACCCCAGGAAAAACCGAGAGTTTTGTGGAGTTCTGGAAATCACACCACTTTAGTGACTGGTTACAAGTCCCATCATGGGAAGCATGGACTGATTTCTCTCATCCTGCAGCCACCCTTCTCTGATTGGTATGAGTTCACCATATTGAGCTGGCTCAAAACCCATGCTATGCTATACTGGAATGATCTTTGTGCCACAGCCCCCTACCACCGAAGTCTGCTATCATTACACCCTTAACCTCCAAGTCTGAATGCCAGCTTTGGTTCTGGGACTGTAGCTCTGCTGATAGACTAGAGTTCACCATATCAAGCACAGGACAGACAAAACATGATGTACCTTGGCTATCTTTCTTCCATGCTGCCATGGTTTGTTTTTCCCTATCCCTTACCTCTTGTTCTAGGAAAAGTAGTCAAATCAACATTACCGTTCCTCATGGAAAGGATGTATGATCTGATTGATCTGTGGCTACATTCACCAACCTTTTGACTTCCCAGACTAGAAAGCCCTTCTCTAGCCATTACTTTCCTATAGCAATTGTCTTCCCATGTTAGAATATAGGCCCTTTGAGGGCAGGAACTATCTTAGCTTATTATATTTGCATCCTCAGTACTTAACATAGGGTCTGGTACATAGGAAGTGCTTGATAAAAACTTTTTCATCCATTTATTTATTACTACATTTAAACACTGGGGGGAACCCGTGCATGGGATGGAAGATTGGGAAAGATCAAAAGTTGGTTTAGAAACCTCCAATCTTACAAGCTATAGCTTTTAAGAGCTTTCAGAGGAATTTAATGAGAGAAAAGAAATATTTTGGTTGGTCCAAGCTCAAGAGGAAAGATAAGAATTTCACCGGTGGCTTTTTTTAAAGAATAAAACTAAGTATTTTATTTAAAGCACAATTGAAAGCAATAATTGAACTTTCAACAACCCCAAAAAAATTTCATCTGAATAAAGGTTATTTTTAAAGAAAGAAGACTTCACTTTGAAAAAGTAATATTTCACAGAATTATGAGCAAAGGAAAAATGGGAACTCCTTAGAGAAACTTGAATGTTAAAAGTCTGGAGATTTAAGCGACTGGCCTCAGAATCAAACTTTAATCTGCATACCAATGACTCCAATGCCATCTGTCTTTACTGGACAGGCAATCAACAAAACAAACAAAAATCCAAGAAACATTTATTCAATGCCTACTGTGTGTATGAGGCACAGTGCCAGGTGTGGAGGATAAAAAGACGGGGAAAAATAGTTCAAGCACCTCTTTATTCCTCTACAGATTCCACTCCAGACTCCCTGGACTTTCTCCACTGTGCCCCCTACAAGGTACCTTCTCTTGTCCTCCCACCTAGGTGAAGAAATTCCCTCTACCAATGCAAGTTGGCTCCTTCTCTGCAACTTACAGTCTGGAAGAGTAGTCTAGATTCACTGAAAGGATAAATGATTTCTCCAAGGTTACATAGCCAAGTAGCCACTTGGATTTTAATCAAACCTGGATTTGAATCCAGGTCTTCCTGCTATGCTACCACTGACTAGAGTGGAAATTCTTTTTAGCAAGGATTGTCATTTTTTATTTTTGATTGAAAGGAAGTAATAAGGCCAGAAAGGCAGGTTAGAGATATTATAAATGTCAGGCTAAGGAGTTTCATGTGATGCATAAAGGACACATTGGAGATATGAGGGATCAGAGGCAGGGGGACCAGTGATGAAGCTATTCTAACAGTCTAGATGAGAGGGGATGAAATCCTGACCTAAGATATTAATATAGCAGCAGAGGGAAGGGAGAGATGGAGACAGCTGAGAGAGATGTTATAGGGGGAGAATCAATGGGACTTGGCATCTTGTTGGGGGGAGGGGAGAGAGAGAGAGAGAGAGAGAGAGAGAGAGAGAGAGAGAGAGAGAGAGAGAGAGAGAGAGAGAGATGGAGAGGGGAAGGGGGAAGGGGGAGGGAGGAGAAGAAACAGAGAGAAAGGAGAGGGAGAGGGGAGAGAGACAGAGAGGGAGGGAGAGAGAGAAACAGATGCAGAGAAAGAGGAGAGACAGGGAGAGACAGAGAGAGACAGAGAGAGAAAGATGGGGAGGAAGGGAGAATCAATAATAACTGAGGTCACTCAGCACTTGGTATGCTCAGCAGCTACGGGTAAACTGTGAAAAGGGACAGGTTAAGGGGAATGCAAAGAAGGTCCTCTAATTTCTGGGCATAAGTTTTGGGTGTTGTGATGTAGGGGCAGAAATAGCCAGTTGGCAGTTTGAGATGTAATAGTGGAGCTCAGAAAAGAGCTTGAGGATAGATATACATGTTTAGCAGTCTCTTGCTTAAAGGTAATAACTGTACACATGGGGAGTGAATGAAAGCAACAAAGGAGAGAAGGTAAAGGGAGAAGAGTGAAAGACATAGGGAATAACCTTGGGAGATAGAAGACAAAGGACCCACGAAAAGGAGACCAAGGAAATAGGAGGATAAACCAGAGAGGTCAGTTTCACCAAAGCCAAGGAAGGAGGAAGTGTCCAGGAGAGTGGGGTCAAACGCTCCAAAAAAAGATCGGAGAGGATGAGAGCTCAGAAAAAGCTGAACTCCAAAGAGATGATGGTGACTTGCGGGAGAACGATTTTAGCTATCGAGCAGAGCTGGTCAGCTGGGAATTCGAGAGCCAGATTTCACTCACTCTTCTCCAGGGGTATGCTGATAAATATTTAACTAGTTTAGAAAAAAAAGAAGACACTTGACACACTTTTAAGTTTAATCTGATTTAACATTTTCTCCCTCACTTTCTAAAGTCCAATCAAAACAATAAACCAAACCTTGATTTGTAGTTTGTCAATTTCAAAGGTGTAAATCTCAGACTGAAAATTTAACAATCACCTCTCCCAAAAGCCAGTCTGAATCAGCTCTAGTTCCCTTACCCTGCCCCCAATCCATGGACTCTTGGAATCATCTGGATAAGTGTGGAAAGAATGAAATTTTACAGTTGTTTGGGGTTCAGGGCCTGGAGTCAGGAAGAACTGAGTTCAAATCTGGCCTGTGGATTTTACTAGCTATGTGATCTTGGGTAAGTCACTTAACCTCTGTTTGTCTCAGTTTCTTCATCTGTAAAGTGGGGGAATAATATCACCTATTTCTCAGGGTTGTTGTGAGGATCAAATGAGATCATATTTATAAAGTATTTAGCACATAGTGTTATATGAATGTGAGCTATTATTATGATGATGATTTCTTTCTGATCATAGGGACAAGGAGAATAATAATGGATAAAACTCAGTTCCCCAGCCCTACTGTATCCTGAATCCTTAAATGACTCTCCCTTCTAATCTCCTGCCACATTAGCCTGCAAAAGGGAATTTGTTCTGCTTCTGACCATCCTTAGATAGAATAGCTAAAGACAATAAAATAACTTCCTGTGCTTTACTTTGAGGCTGCTAGGGGGCACAGTGGAGAGGGCACCGGGCCTGGAATCAGGAAGACCTGAGTTCAAATTCAGCCTCAGATACTCATTAGCAGTAAGACTCCAGGCAAGTCACTTAACTTGTATTTGCTTCACTTTCCTCAGTTATAAAATGAGGATAATAAGAATGCCTACCTCCCAGGGTTTTTAATGAGGATTAAATGAAATATTTGTAATGCACAATGCCTGGTGCTTAGTAGGTACTATATAATGCTTATTCCTTTTCCCCTTTCACTTTACCACTGATTGCCCAGAAGTCTGATGGAAGGGTCCAAAACTTAGCAGTTTATCTTTTGGCCATTATGCTGGGATAAATGATATATTTTCTCGCTCAGCATCACCATTTGTAAATAACCAAATATCTCAGAGCATAAACCACTTAGTTCTAGAGACCTGTTGCCTTTAGAGCAAATGTTCTTAACCTAGGTTCATGAATAGATTTTCATGAGTCCAGAAACTTGGATGGGAAAAAATAATTACATCTTTACTTTCACTAATGTCAAACTGAAATTTAGCATTTTGTTCAATTATTTAAAAATATTATTTTGAGAATGGATCCATAAGCTTCATCACACAGTCAAAAGCATTCACTACACACACATACACACACACACACACACACACACACATACACACACGGTTAAGAACTCCTTATTTAATCACAGAGTTATGATTCTCTTGGTCTATGGACCTCTAATAGGACCAATATTCCCCCTGTCCCGTTACTCTGGAACAATGATAGCTTTTCCTCTCAAAGGCCTCAGAGTTCTCCCTGAAGTCTGGATGCTTGCCTCCTTTAAAGTATCTTCCTGGTCACCCGAGGACATAAAAAGTCCCACTCACACGGAGTCAGAGTCCCTTTGATTGGATGGATGCTTGAACACCATACCCTGCCCTGCTGACCAGACAATTTTTTTTTTTTACCAATTTTCATATGGAGACAAGGTGGGGTGTTGTGTATCTTTGTTGTGTATCCTTGCTGTGTTGGGGCAAATTAACAGTTCAATGATTTACAAGTATGTCAGTTTGTTTAAAAATTGAACTTTAACCGACAGGGTACTGGCATTGGGCCCATCCAATATCACCATTGCTCATCCATGAGGATTCTCTAGAAATTTATGTTTATAATGTGAGAAAGTCTTTTTCTTTCCTTACCTAAATGAATGATTATAACGTCTCTAACTGCAGTATCACCCAAAGCAATACCAATTTGCCCATTAAGTCAGGTTTGGCATTTTCTTATTAAATGTTGTTTTGTATTTGTTTGTATTTCTACTTTTCTTCCACAAAACGATCAGTTGGAATGGTTGGGGTAGGTCTCTGAGAGACTTGTTCTTTCTCCCACACAAGTGATGCACATGCTGAAAAAAAGGAAGCATCAGTGCATGGTAACTGAATGGTAAAGGTATTTATGAGACTCCCCTCCCCCAGGTCATGTGTTTCTTTTGAACAAAGTGACTTTAATAGACCAGTGGCCTTGCTTCCAACAGTTTAGCACGTGGCTTCCTCTTCCATAAGTCAGTTACACAACTTGCTAGGCAGAATAGCACTCTCAGGAATGCACTTATGTGAGTTGACTCCCCTCTTCTCTTGGCAACAAAATGCCAAACATGCATCAGGGGCATGCAATGATTACCCAGAAACTGCATGTCCTATCATATGTCACCCCTCATAATTTATTTTTATGAGGGTAGTAAGTAGTATCAGTATTTTATAAGCACGTATTTATACTTGTTAATTTAATTTATGCAAATGCCTCATTTATGTAAATCATCTACAGATCCACCATCAGGATATCTTTAGCAAAATAACATGATTGTGATATTTAGGGACCTGACATATATAATCAGAGAATGCAAATTATTTTTATGGCATGTTTTATATGCCACCAAGTTCATAAAATGTTGACGGTCTGGTTTTATTGAAAACTTTCATCTTTCAGTTGGTAGGTTTGGTCTTCTCTCTCTTTGTCCATTTTCATTACTTTTCAACCTCTCTCCTATTGCGGCCAGCTCCCTCCAGCCATTCGGGTCAGTTTGCTGCCAGAGACCAGGAGACCAAGGACTCTGGTTGCAGCTGCAATGAGAAAACTAAGCCTCCAATTTGAGTTCCCTTTAGAAGGATGAGGTTACAGTGTGTAAACAGAATACTGTATTTCATAGCAATCTGAGGGCTTTGGACTTGATCCCTCTTTGACAGTACTGTCCTCATTACCAATTCATGACAATGCCAGTCAGTCATCATGAATAATAAGGTCCTCCGCCCCCAAATCTAGAATATCTGTTACCAGTTTTTGGCATATTACTCAAATAGGAGGCTGGATTTGGGACTCTTCTGGGTAAGTGACGTTGGGCATCAATCAAATTCTTCTTCAAGTACACAAGAAGTTTATTTTAATAGGGCAGAGAATAAGAATGGAAGGTAAAAGGAAAGTAGTAGAAGAAAGTGGTATGTGACCATGTTGACTAAATAGGATACCAGTATTTGGGATTAAACCATCCTTCTGTTGTCTGAAATGTCTATTTATGACAAGAACATTGCATTCATTCATGGAAATGGTGAAGCCTGTAGATCGAGGGATTATTACACATGTTATATTTGAACCTAAGAAAGGCTTTTGATTCTGTCTCTTGATAAATATACCCAGACTGAGACAGTTTTGTCTTGACTATACCTCTACAGGGTTGAATTCAAAATGGGCCAAATTAAATTCAAAATGTCCCCTTAGGACCAAGGTATAGAAAATAAGTGAGGTTATAAAAAGCCTAGTTTTAGTTGAGATTTGACCCATCACCTGGACTATAAAATGGTACACGTGGTCATTATTTGTTAACAATAACTGGCTCTCATGGCAGGCAGGACTAAAATTCAAAATGATCTTTATGAATTAAAGAAATGTTCATGGAAAAGGAGAAAAAAGTTCAAGATAGGCCGAAGCAAGGCAGTACACTTATCAGGACAAAGTTCAATGCACCGACACAGAATTCCAGGTTATATACTGCTACTATGACAAGTGAACTCACAAGTTGGGTAGGAGTCCACAACAAAGTCTTGGTATTTCTAGGTCTAGGTTTCATTCTAGACTTTATAATCTAGTAGGGATAGTTGGCCACAATGCAACCAATTTAAGATGAGAGACATTGAATCAATTGAACTGGAAAAGATAAGGCTTTGTGTGTGTGTGTGTGTGTGTTGTGTGTGTGGTGTGTGTTTTCAAATAAGAGAGTTATGTCTTCTTTTCTCCAAACTCAAGATCCCTAGTTTCTGTATATTTTAGTGCCTCAGGCAGCAATATAACCAGGGCAGATGGTATAAATGTACCTTGAAATAAACATTGCAATTTATTATGCAAAAATATAGGAAGTAATAAAAATTCAGTTGAGTGGCAGGGAAAACCAGTTATTATAGTAATTTTTTTATATTCTAAATTTAGGTATCCTGGGACATAAACCCTGATCTTCCTAGCCTAGTTATGGCTCCAAAGGTGGTAAGTAGCAAAAGTAATCTACTTAGCATAGAACAATTAAAAACAAAACCACAAACTTTTATCATAAAGGACTCAAATCTGATATAAAGAAACAATCATTGTTATGACTCATTACACCTTGAAACAGATTGTTGTTGTGGTTCCATCATGTCCAACTCTTCATGACCCCAGCTGGGGTGTTCTTGGCAAATACTGGAGTGGTTTGTCATTTCCTTCTCCAGCTCATTTTACAGATCAGGAAACTGAGACAAATAAGGTCAAGTGACTTGCCCAGGGTCACATAGCTAGTAAGTGTCTGAGGCCAGATTTAAACTCAGGTCTTCCTGATTTGAGGCCTGGAATTCTATCCACTATACTACCTAGCTGTCCCTAGAAACAGATTACTGAAGGTGTAAGATAGTTTTTCTTAGAAGCCTTTAAAAATAAGATAGATGCTGAGCTAATTGGCCAATTCAGATGTGAATTGTTTAGAAGCAGAAAATGGATCTGTTGACAACTGGTGAGTTTCCTTCCAGACCTCCGAACTTATGACTCAATGTTTTAAATGCATCTTGAGCTAAACACTAGTTCTCCTCTCAGAGAGTGGCTAAGTGATGAGGGGGAGGTGGTAGGAAGTTTTAGGTCAGAATATATGATTTAGGGATGAATGGGAATTTCATATGACCATGTCATTCCAAATCCATCTGCTTTTTAGACTAAGATAAGATTATAGCTGATATTAGCACAGAAACACATACTCCCTTGTCCTGGTCAATGTTGAATTTTATTCTCTTTCCCTCCTCATTGGAGGTCTTCAGGAAAAGTTGAGTTGACAACTGTTGGCTGTGTTCTAGTACAGATCCTTTGCAGGGTAAGCTTGGACTAGATCAGGGGAGGGGAACCTGCAGCTTCAAGGCCACATATGGCCCTCTAGGTCCTCAAGTGTGGCCCTTTTACTAAATCCAAACAAGGGATTTGTTCTGTGGAGCTTGGATTCAGTCAAAGGGCCACACTTCAGGACCTACAGGGCCATGTGTGGCCTCAAGGCCACAGGTTCCCCACACCTAGGACATGGTTGATGAGATTCCTTTCCAATCTTCAAACCTGCAATTCATTGATTCAAAGATGATAAACACAAAGAAGATAAAATATATATGGCAAGTGATATAAAACTAAGCTGAACTGGAGTTATGTACACAATGATTACAACCATACTAACAAAGAAGAAAATTTAAGGGTGGTATAATAGCTGAGCAAACACAATTTTTGTTTGGGATTTTTTTTCGTATTTTTTAAAAATTCTACTTTGTTAAATGCTTAGGATCTTATGTAAGATTTTATTCCTAATTTTATGTTTGATTATTTGTTTTAGGTGATAGTTACTAAGTTTAGAATTCTTTAAAAAACTATCACTGGAGGAAATTTTTACTTTAGTAGTTCCCCACATGGATGAAATTATAAAGCTACCACCACCCCCATAATAAATTAATAATAATTCTTTATAAAGAAGCAATTGCATATATGCTTTCCCATTACCTTAATTCCATGATGGCAGTCATTATATACATATATATACATATATATGTATATATATATGTATATATATATATATATACACACATATATATCATATACATATACTTTTTTTTTTACATTGCTACTGATACTGAGGGGGGAAATGTATTACAGTCTATCCCTTAGGAATGGTGGAGAGAACCCAAAGAAAATGTACATCAATAGCACATTCTGGAGAAAAAATAGTTATTGAACCAACTCCTATATAAAACATAAAGTGAAATAAGCAAAGAAATGGCCAATAATACAAATTTAAAAACAACCTGCAAACACCTTTATTTCACTGCAAGATTCCAGTCAAGTTGTGCCAAATCCCAGTTCATTCCAAGAGTTGATTGAGATTCAGCCAGAACTTGTCTCCATATTTATAGCATTATTATCCAGATGTACAAATAAATTCATGCATCATTTATGTTCGTTGTTTAGTGATGGCCGTTCATAACTGATTCATGACTCTGCTTCTCACAGCAAAGGTCAGGAGATGTGGAAATAAACGATGTTTGGGGATCCGGTCTCTTTCCATGCATTCAGCCTATTAACGTAAATAACATTTTACACCAACTCAACTCCCTCACTCCCAACTCGCTAATGATTATTTTGTGGTTCTTTTCAAATCAATGAGTCACCAGCCTAAACCTATGCAAGAAAACTATTCTTGTATAGAAAAGCAATTAAAATGTGTTGGAAGCATTTTAATTGCAATGAAACCCGTACCTTAACTCAAAAATAAGTTTAGTGTCTCTATGTTCACTCTTCACATTACAGTTCACTTGCAAATATGGGTCCAATATGTTTCTCCCTTCGAGCTTTAGTTAAACTCTTTCAGTTTATGAACTGCAGGTACATTCTTCTTAATTTCCCATTCAGTTGATTTATATATGCAGAGAGCTCCTACTAGTTCATCATGCTTTCTCTAACCTCACGCCTACGAGGTAAAGAGATAATTGGAATCTTTTAAAATAATGTCAATGTAAAGTAGCAAGACAAAGTCAATTTGCCATTACTAAATACTTAGTATTTTCAAGAGTTATAAAATTTCAGGCAATCAGATCTCTGATATTCTTCCAACTAACCTCAAAAAAAGATGGATGGACAAGTAAATAGATTTGAAGTCTCATTCATGAAGGAAAGCAGGAAGATGATGTTAACTTGAGAAGGAAAATTACCTTGAACCTCATCAAGGACTATATATAGTTAAGCCAAACTTTATAGCCTCTGCAATTTTTTAAAATTCAGATGTGATTTTAGCAGTATAGGGAACCCAATATAGAAATTCCCTCCACTGATGCAGATCAGAAACTCATTTGTTATTTATGGTCTTAGAGAGTTGCTTGGGACACGTAAATTAGGTGACTTGTCCATCTCTTAATAGTAAAGATGTGTCAGAGGCAGGATTTTCTAACTCTAAGACCTATATGTGCCTTTACATACATGAAATGTTGGTCAGATCTCAATATCAGAAATCTTCCTTGGACTGTTCCTTGGGTAAGTCGCTAAACCACTTTTGGCCTCAGTTTCATCATTTGTCAAATGATAAGATTAGACTGGATAACCTCTGAGGTCCCTTTTAGTGCTTAATTTATTATTCTATGATCTAAATTAGTACAATTACATCTGGATAAGAATGCTATAAATATGGAGACTAGTCCTGGCTGAATCCCAATCAATGAACTGGAATTTGACACAACTTGAATGGAATCTTGCAGTGAAATAAGGGTATTGTTTGCAGGCTAAAACAAGTTGCATTATTGGTCATTCCTTTGCTTATTTCATTTTATGCTTTACATAGGAGTTGGTTCAATAGCTATTTTTTTTTCCAGGATGTGCTACCGATGTACATTTTCTAGGGTTCTCTACATCTTTCCTCAAAGCACCAAAGTCCCCAAAAATCTCCTCTCTCAATAGTCTTTAATGGAGACCTTTTAAAGAACAAACACAGGATTCTAAGAAAACAGAAAGGGAATGTGTCATTATTTATCCTCCATGTTTTATATGAATTCATGGGCCTAGGCTAGGTCTTTTACAGGCTTCAGAGGTAGCATGAGTGCTGACTATATACATTACATCAATGGCCAATTGGCTTCCTGATGAATGAGTATGGGGTGGACATATCTGGTAGCTTTATAATAAAATTGGGTAGATGGTGTGATATCCTTTGGTAGATTATATCTTTGGGATGAGAAATAAAGTTAGACTGATGGGTAAGAGATCTGGGTTTAATCTCAGCTCTGCTGCTAGCAAGCTGTCCTATAAATGTGGACCTCTTAGCATTTGGGAATGCAGTCTCCGAAAACTCATTTACATTCTCTTCATTAGCCATATGATATTTGCCACATCCTTACTCTCTGAGTTGATGAGCTAAATGTGCTAGATGGAGAAAGTCCTGATAGTTTGAATTACTTTACCTAGTGAAAAAAATAACAGCAAACGTTCACACAATCCTGGAGGACCCTGTAGACACCATAATTATGGAGTCTCCTCTCCAGTCTTTTTTTTTTCTTTGTAAGCAGGCAGACCTTTTTAGATATCAGAATGTAAATACTATTCATCTTAGTTTCTTAGAGGTTTGCTAGTTTTCTTTCCAGTGCATCTTAATGTCAGCTCAGGAAAGGGTGACAATATTAAGGCACTAACAGGATTTCAGAATAGGAGACCAATGTCAATACTGTCAGGCTGTATCATCTATAATTCCAATAAATTGTTTTTCCTAAGACATGCTGTGTTTGAGAATCATAGAATGGCAAAGCTGGAAGGAACCTTTCAGATCACTGATTTGAATTCCTTCACTTTACAGATAAGGAAACTGAGACCCAAAGAGATAAAATGATCTCCTTGTTGTCATACAGCTTGCTAGTAGCAGAGCTGGGATTAAAACCAGATCTCTTAACAATCAGTCCAACTCTATTTCTCAACCCAAAGATATAATCTGACCCAAAAAAATATCATATCATCTATCCAAATCTATTATAAAGCTACATGACATTTTTGTTTGGCTACTTTGCTAACAGAGGGTAGAACTGAAAAAGCAGGCACACACACACACACACACACACACACACACACACAATTTCAAAGGCACAAAGTTCCTTCCTTGGTACTTGGGGGTTGAAGGCACAGATTATTTATTATGTTCATAGATCAGTCTTTTCAAAAAGCAGTGTGGCATTTTATTTATTGGACTTTCTCCAATCGAATACTAGCAAGGCAAAAGAATGGTTTTCTCCCTTCTATGATGTGTCCAAGTTTCATACTTCATTCATTTGTCCCTCCATTTATTCATTCAACAAATATTTATTGAAGAATAGCTACTGGATGTGCAAAGCCATGTGTTGGGAATTATGGGGAATATCACAGTTCGGTTACAATTCAATTCAACAAGCATTTAAGGGCCAACCATGTGTAAAATGAGAAGCAGCATGATATAATGGAAAGAGGAGCTGGATTCAAGTGCTGACTCTTGTCACATGCTGGCTGCATAATCATAAGCAAGTTATTTAACCTGTTAAGTGTCCTAGGCAACTCTCTAATTCTATAAATGGCAGATCTGCATTATAGTGTAAGTTTATTCCCCAGAAGTTCACTGTACTAGTAAAATCACAGGTTCTTTAAAAAAAAATGTGCTGGGCATAAAAAAATTAAAAAGAGTCTCTGCCCTTGAGGAGCATATATTTTATTGGAAAGAGGAGGAAACAACACGTACATGCAAATTAAACAAAAAGCAATGTGGGGAAGTGTAAAGACTCACAACTTAGGGGAAGGAGGAAATAAAGAAATTCTCTGTTTAGGATACTTCAAATAAGCTGAACCTTGAAAGACCCAGAGCTTCCAAGAGGCAGCAGTGATGGGAGAGAGTATTTCATGTGTGTAGGGGGGAAATATTTGTAAGATCTGTCTTTGCTCTTGAGGGGATTAGATGAAGGGGTAAAATATTTTATTTCATCCACAGAGACAATTGAGGTGGCATATTGGATAGGGTGCTGAGCCTGGAATCAGGTAGTCTTAAGTTCAAATCTGGTCCCAGATACTTACTACCTGTGTGATCCTGGCCATGTCACTTGATCTCTGTTTGCTTTAGTTTCCTCATTTGCAAAATGGGGATAATAATAATATTTACCTCCAAGGATTATTGGGAATATCAAATGAGATAATATTTGTAAAGCACAGGGTACATAGTAGATGCTAAATACATTCTTGCTTCCTTCCTTCCATTCAGCAAACACTTAATTAAATATCTTCTACATACAGAGCTCCATGGTAGGTACTTGGGATTCAAAGGAAAAAAATGAGACAGTCCTTGTCCTTAAGGAGCCTACCATTCTACTAGAGAATGAAAGAAATGGACAACAAGTAAATATAAAGAAAATCCAAGGGATAGGGATAGGGAGAGACCTGTGATTTCATTGGTATAGGGAACTCCCAGGTGAGGAAACTATCTTCTCCAATGCAAGTCTGCACTTTCTCTGTACTGAGCAATACACATTTATTTCCAGCAGAAGTGAAATGGTACTGGAGATGGGGGAGGGAGGATGACAAGGCATGCCCAGAAATAATTATGAGTTCTCATAAGTGGTGTGAACAAAGGATTATAGTTCCAAAGGTGGAGGCACTGTTTCCAGGTCTGTTGACCAGGGAAAGCTTCAAATAGGATTTTTCAACTGTTCCTTAAAAGACGGCTTAGATTTTGATGGGTGGAAATGGAAGAAGCAAAGGCATTGCAAGTAGAGGGAATAGTATAACCAAAAGTATAGAACAGAGAAAGTAAAAGAAGGAACATTTTCAAACTTTAGGAATACAAAGTATATCAATTTGATTAGAGTATACTGTTTGTCAGAATCTGTGACAAATATCCCAATAGGCAACCTAGTTCTGGACTAAGGGAACAAATTGGGCAAGGAAGCAGAAGACTTGTTTTATTTGTCTTTGTATCTCCAGTGCCTAGACAGAGATTGGAACATAGTAGGTGCTTAATAAATTCTTGTTGATTGATTAATTGATTGACAGAGAGAATTCTGTGGCAATCTGATCCCTGAGATGCTGCCTAATCACCCTGAGGTCATAGCAGTGCCCCTAGAGGCAGGTGCTGAGATACTAATGGTGAAGATTCTGGGCCAAGGAAGGATATGGGAAAATCAACGGTCATCCTTTTATCAGAACTGAAGCGTATCCTTTGTGAGACCAAGTCATACCCATCAGAAGACAACTACTAATACCACTATGCTGTTTCACTTCCCCAAAGTGAGAGGTCACCCCAGATATTGAGTGAAAATGCCCAGAAAGAGCCCTGAACCAACAGTGTTGCACATTGAACTAATCTAAGATTCATCCATATTCAGAAGGAAAGTGAGTGAAAACCAGTATTTCAGACAGCTTTACATTTTCAAATTAAGTTAATAAAGTAAGATTTCCAATGTAATGACAAATTAATTCTTCCTTTCATAAGTTTATTAAAATAAGCATCTTCTATCTTCTAACTAGCCCTGACATATGCTTACATAGATACAACACACCCAGTAACCTAATCTCCCAGCAATCTTGAAGCAATTAACTCCTTCTAATCTTGAGCTAACAAAGCCCACCATGCAAAAGGCCCCTGGAGAATGCCATTCTCAGGGCCTCGGAAAAGCTCCCTCCCATCTATTTCTCTGTTATTCAGAGACTAGGGGCTCAGCGGAGTGGTCAGAGAGCAGGGATTCATCTGAAACAACATAGATGAATCATCACAGATCATAAGATCTTCATTAACTCCTTATTTCTCTGCTAATTAACACAAAAAGAATGAGTTGAATGCTTGACAGGCAGTGAATGACCCACAGCTCAGTGGTTAATAGGATGCAAATGACATCTAATGAGGGTCTCTCCTTGTAGTGTGGGCAGCTGGCCTACTATTTTTGTTGTGGATTTTGAAAGTGTTTGAGATGAAAACAGTTTACCCAATAATTTACACTGCAGCTGAGTTTGTAATAAAGTCCATGAATTTATGTAAGTCCTACGCATGGCAGAATTAACTTAAGTTGTTAACCACCATGTTTAGCTTAATATGCCATAGTTGGAAGCAAAGGCTTGGGGGAATAGACTTCTATGCCTTTCAAGAGAGGCACAGCATTTATTTATTAGCAGAAAAAAAAGGAAAAGAAAAGAATGCTTCATTGGCAAGCATATTACCAAAAAGTTTGATTTCTTTTGTAAGCCCAGCCCCATGCAATTAATATATTTCTGCCAAAAAAGCAAATTCCCATTATCATCTCATATGAAGAAAAGGAAGAGAGCTAGCCTGGTGTAATGGATAGGTCTTGGAGCCAGGCAGTCTCGGGTTCAAGTCTTGTCTTTGACACACAAACCATCATGTGACTCTGAACAAGGCATTTAACATCTCAGTGCTATAGGCAACTCCTCAAATGCAAGAGAAGCTGCTGATCTTCAAGGCAGAGGCATTTTCTTCATCAAGGAGTCCCCCATACTAGTGAAGTCACAAATCCAGTTCTTATCCCTGTGAGTAGAGGGATAAGCCAAAACCTGATCTGTATGTTTCCAATTAAAAAAAAACTCAATGCAATTAAGGTTGGGTTTTGGGGAACAATTCAAGAATAAAGAACAATGCTGATATTTAGAATCTCATTAAAAATTAAGTGCCATATACAAAATTCAAAACAAAACATAAAGATTTTGTGTCAGAAAAGTCTGCATGTATCACAGTGAGATCAAAGAGCCAAGCTCTCTTTTGTGATATGGCTATCTTTCCCCTTACAGAGATGTAGCCTAAAATGACTTTGATTTCAACTGAGAAACTGAGTTGGAAACTCTCAAGGAAAAGGTCCATCCATCATCAGTGCAGTTCCTTAGGTAAGCCTTATTTAAAACCACACAGAAATGAAAATACCATCATGTCACTTTTTCTCACCAGAAGCAAGATATCTTTTGCATAATGTTGGGTGATTTCTGGATCTCATTGGGTTGCACAAGGGAGGTAGATTGTTCACACTTGAAAACTGGTTTTCTGAACTTGAGCACTATCTCTGCCCCACCCCCTCTTGTGGCATTTATTTTAAGCAACAAGGACAGATTTTTGCCTGCGTGTAACTTGAATCCATGTGGTTTAAGCCCTTCTTGTATTAATAATAGGTTTCACCTTTATTAAGAACTGAGAAGGAGGTGGAGATGATTCAGAGGGAAACCTGTTAATTGGTCATCTCATTGGTTGTTATTTAACATTTGTAAAGAGTTGCTGGGGGGAGACCTAAAATATATCTTGCTTCCTTAGAATTTGAGGCTCAATTATGGAAATAATTCATTATTATTTATATTTAATGTCTTTCAATTCAGCATTTAAAATTATGGTCCTAGTTAGACTCACAAACAATTATGATATAATGCTATTAATGGAGATGGGAAAACACTAATCTTTCTTTTTCAGAGTTCTCTTCTCCCTGCTCAATCAAAGGTCAAAGTGTTTGCTGCATTCTTCCTCTCAAAATAAGCTATTTTAAGGGCAGAAATAACAAGAATTGTTATGTCTTAAGCACCTACAATAGATAGATGCATATGGGCAATGTCTATCACTTCCTTTCTCTGATAGAGAGAAGACAGATTTTAGATCAATACACAGATTAAATTACTGACAATAAGTGCTATTCAAAAATGGAATAGACTGTTTTTATAAGGGAGTGATGGAGGCATTGAATAAAGTCTGGGAAGCTACTTTTCTAGGATTCTGTAGAGGGGGCAGAAACAAGATGAAACGTAAGATTCACTTCTAGTTCTAGGATTTTGTTACCATATACCTCTACAGGAGGTACTTCTTGATTACAATTCAGTTTGATTTCCACTGAAGAACCAGAAAAGAGTTCTATGACTGTAACATTGGTTGTGTGAGTTAAAACACCCTAAGCTTCTATTAGCATGTTTCATATAATAAATGATGTAGAAAGATTAGGTGAAATTAAGTTGTAAAGGTTATATAAGATTATGTTTTTCCCATAACCTTTGAAGCAATTCAATTCTTGATAATTGAGAAAATCATGCAAGTAATAATAACAGCTGACATTTACAATAGCATTTTGATATTTATAAAGCATTTTACATCCACCATCTCATTTCATCTTCACAATAATTCTGTGAGATTAGGTATTGTTACCCCCATTTTACAGATGAGGAATCAGACACAGAGAGAGGTTAAATGACTTGCCCAGAGTCACACAGCTAGTAAACATATGAAGTCAGTCAACAAAAAAGTACTTACTATGTGCTAGGCATTGTGCTTAATGCTGGGAAGATAGATAGATAGACAGACAGACAGACAGATAGATGATAGACATATATATATATACATATATATATAATACATACACATATATATACACATATATGTATATATGATAATCTCTGCCCTCAAGGAGCTTACAATCTAATAGGAGAAAGACAAAGCACAAAAGGAAACTGAAAAGTTTGGGGGAGGGTGAGAAATCAGAGATTGCCAGAGTAATGCAGTCAGGTGGGAAATGGAAGTATTTTGAGCCAATTTCCTTCCTTAAAGGGAGGTTTCAGAGTTCATGGCTCCCCTCTTCAGAGAGGCAGAAGATAACAATGAAGTAAAGTACCCAGGCTGATGGGATCTTGCAGGATGTTGAGACTTTCCCAATAAAGAGCTTCCTGGGGGACATGGAGAAGTCAGAGATGTCCCAGAGTAGTGCGTCCTGGTGAGAAATAAGGTGAGATCTGAATCCTGGTCTTCGAAACACCGGATTCAACTCTCTGCATTGTCTACAGTAGCAAGCTAGAGACAGGAGACTGCCAGCTCCTCCCACGTCTTCCCAGTCTTTTCTTTCAGCAACCCCAAGGTAGGGTTCATCTCTTCCATTATTTTCTCTCAAAACTGGAATTCAGAAGCACCAGAAGTGAGTCACTGCTGGAAGAATTTAGAGCTCTCTCGCCTCTCACCAACATCACCCTGACCTTCACACAGGAAAGTGCCTTCATCTCCATCAAGAAGGAGAGAATTACTTACCAATGGGTTTTGGGACAAGGGTTACATACATTTGAACCTAATGAACCACAGGATTGCTTCCAACTCTGAGACTGGATTCTGTGAATAATATTACATGCCCAGATACATACAAGCACATATGTCTACTTGGACCTAAATATCATGCACTTAAAAAGCTTGTCCAGGAAATTTTTAATCATGTAGGTAATTGTATAGCCTCAATCTTCACTTTATATGTATAGGTTAAATAAGTATACAGGGTCAGAGAAGAATGTATGGTTTACAAGGCTGTTACAGTATATAAGAAGTAGTAGCAGAATCAAAAGTCAGAGCACGTAAGAAGGTAGTTACAGCGATTGGTCCCAGAACATATCCTTGATAAAAATAGATAGAGCAATTAATTTACTTCATGTAATTGAGTGATACATTCTTTTGAAGTTTTTGTTGTTTATTCTTTAGGTTTATAAAAGTAAAGGATTAAAAATATACACTCTCATTTGATTCTCCATGATCCTTTTAGGGAAGGACATAATTTTTAACTAATCTTCCAAATAACATAGATGTATCTATACATGTGTTTATAATGTATATTGTAGATATATATTATACATATATATATAAAAATCTTATACAAATGGATATGTATGTGCATATACCTTTATATATGTATATATCTATATGAATGATGTGTATATATGTACACATATACATATATACATACATACATATACACACGTATATAGATACACATACACACATATGTGTATTATATATACATACATACATATGGAGAGGGCAGAGAGATTCTACTTTTATCCTAATTATCTCATGAGTCAAAGAAGAACTATGATTTCTCTGATTTTTTTTCATGTATTTTATTATCTGCTTTATTGTCATGTCATGGTGTTACAGAGCCACATAGATGGGTTTTTTCCCATTTATGAAGGACCTCTCCATAAGGCCCTGTGATGTTTTTAAGAATGCTAATACGAAGTTTTATAATATCAAAATCATTCACAACTAAATTGAAAAGTCTGTTTCTCTATTAAAGCTCATTTTAACTTTAAAGTTTGGTTGATATTTTATTCTTCATCTTGGATATGATCCTGGATTGTAAACTCCTTCACTTATTATACATCTTCAATTCCCCAGAATGTTTAGAGCAGTGGCCTGCATGTGGCAGGCATCAATACATGTTTATTGAATGAATGAATGGATGAATGAATGAAAGAATATTTATGTGCAATCTCTGTAAATGTCACAAATGGTTTTCTAATTTTCTTAAAATGATCCAGCTGGTTTCTCAAGCTTAACTTTCATGCTGATCTGAACTGATTAGAAGAGAGACATTGCTTCTCTGAAAGCTGATAGACTAAAGAAAGACAGTATTGGCCCCTTAGATCATATATATCCTGAGAGAAGAGAAAACTTTCAGTGGTATTACTGTATTTCCTTTTACTATCCACTATGGTTTGAGAGGAAGAAACAAAGGAGGAAAGATAGACTTTGTTGTGAGATGCTCCTATTGGAGACGGCTAGGTGGCACTGTGGATGGATAGAGCACAGAACCTGGAGTCACGAAGACCTGAGTTCAAATCCAGCATCAGATACTTACTAGCTTTGTGACCCTGGGCAAGTCACTTAAACTCTATTTGCCTCAGTGTCCACAACTATAAAATGTGGATAATAATGACACCTGTCTCCCAGGGTTGTTTGAGCATCAAATGAGGTGATATTTGTAAAAGTGTTTAGCACAGGGGCTGATACACACTAGACTCCATATAAATGTTTATTCTCTTCCCCTTGTTGGAAAAGAGACATTGCTTTTCTAAAAGCTGATTGGAGAAAATATAATGCCCTTTTATTTGAAGATATGACTGGAGAAAGGATGGCCCTGTCATAATCTATAATTTTAGAGGGAAAAATTCTTCAGAGCCTCAGAACAAATATGAGGAAATTGGAAGTTGTCCAATTAGAGAGAATAATAGCTTAACACTCTCTGAGCACCCTGCCAAGAATGGTTACATGCTAAAATAATTTGAAACTGCTTCAGTTGTTCAAGAGTAGCAGAGAAATGACTTTGTCCACTTACGGATCTGTGAGGCGCAGTGGACAGAGCACTGGCCCCGGAGTCAGGAGGACCTGAGTTCAAATCCGGCCTCGGACACTTAATACTTCCTAGCTGTGTGACTGTGGACAAGTCACTTAACCCCAATTGCCTCACTAAAAAAAAAAAAGGACAAGAGGTAGCAGAAAAAAAGGTTTTGCCTAGTAATTTAGGCTATTTTTGAGGAGCCAAAGGACATCAAGGCCTGGTACTCAGAGTAGAAAGTCATCCCAGGAACATAGGTTCATCTGCCTCTCTTCTGGGTTTCTGTAAGTCTGTGCCTACTCTTCTGATAGACACTGAATGCATTGGTAAGAGAGTGTGACCCAGGTTTATGACTGGACTATTATATTTTGATTTCTCCTGCTTTTGATTTCTATTAAGTAAATGTTTTAATTAAATATTCTTGCTTTTACCTTATTGTTTAGTAAATGTTTCATTTACAATAGTATCATTATGATTACATTGTTTAAATAGGAAGCAGACTGATGGGAGATCAGAAGGTACACTAGTAAATAATAGGTGTGACTCCAATCCCACCACCACCACCACCCCAGTCCCTGAGAGAGTTTGAGTTATAACTATGTAGTCATGGTTGCCATACACCCACAATATGGGAAAACCTTTAGACTTACCAGTGTAGGTGCAAGTTAAGGTAAGTGCATCAGCCAAGAGAGACAGAAGAAGGTGTCAGGTGTCATGTCGTTGCATACTTAGACCACATTAGTTCTGGACCAATGTGACAAAATAAAAAGAATGCTGGATTTGGAGTCTGAGGACCTATGTTTTGAATTCTGTCTGCCACTTACTAGTTGGATAATTTTGGATAAACCACTTAATCTCAATTCCTTCCTCTTTAAATGGTGTTTGACTATAGAATATCTGAGTTTTCTTCTACCTCTAAATCCTATGAACCTAGGTTCTAGTACTTTTTCTATTTATAAATTATTGTGTGATTCTGGGTGAGACTTTGTCCTGGTTTAATCATATCACTCCCCTTTTCCATCAACATAATGGTCAAAGTCTTTTGCTTGGCATTCAGGGTCATACAAAATATGGTACCAAATCACCTCTCCAGCCTCAATTCACACTGTTTTCTGTCATGCTTCTCATGTTCTAATCATTCTAAGACTAATCACTATTACCTAAATACATCTAGGACTTTTTGGTTTCTGTTCCTTTACTCACATTTGTCATACCTAGAATATACCTCCCATCTTTTACCCCTTGATATCCTATACATCCTTCAAAGATCAACTTAAACTCTGTCTGCTGTAGAAAGTATTCACTGATACACTCCCATAGATGTAACTTCTTCTACATCTAATTCCATAGCACTTTGTACTCTTATGCATTTATAACATTCTAATGAACATTATACTTTGCTGAGTCTTATCATCATTATTATATAAGTGCCATGAGGGCCAGAAGTGAGTCTTAATTCTTTCATCCAGTTCCTTGCACAATATACTATCCTTCTTAATACATTCTTATTGAATTCTGAATGAATGTAGAAGTGATTACCTTAAGTGTTATCCTTAAAGTGTTATCCTTAAATGTTCTATAAGTGACCCACAGATGCATTGGCTTAATTGGTCTCCTGCCAAACTTTCTGCAATCATATTTTTTCTGACACTGCTTCTCTCTGTTTTCTCAGGTGATACTGCTCAAAAGCTTCTACCAGTTTCCTCTATAAAATCCTTCAAAGGTATGACCCCCTCAAACATAATATTTCTCTCTGTGAAAAAAAATCAAATGGTTCCTGGTTGAGACAGTTCCTAGGTTCTGTTGGCCTGATCATCTTGGGAATTGCTTTTTTATTGGTTAAAATTCCATAGGAAATTATAATAGTCAATGTCAATGTCTGTTCATTTATCCATTTCCCATTTGGGGCTATCAATAACTTGTTTTTATTTAAGCTGTTTTAGTTATTTGCCATATCGTCTTATGTTTATTCTTTCATCTCATTTGGTGTGGGTTTGTTCTTTGTTCATTCAAGTGAAGAATCTGACTATAGAACAAAAGCTGATATGAAAATGATTCCTACCTTAGTAACCACTTGTTTCCTGCCTTGCACCTTTCCATCTCTTCTTGGAGAAAATATATGTAGTATGTAAGCTTAAGGTTTTGTTAGTCTTTGCCCTTTCTCGTACCTTGGCCGTGAGCCCTATTTTCAGCATATATTTTATCCTATGACTGATTCCCTTTTCACTAAAGTTACTGAGTATTAAAGTGCAGGTTCAGTTCATCTGAAGATTCCTATCAAGTTAAACATAAAATTTCTCTACTTCCCTATCCTCTGAAAACAAATCTACAAATGCTCTTCATGGATATCTTTTTTACTTGCATTCATCATGAGCACTAACATAACAAGATGACCAAGTGTTTCATGAAATGATGATTCTTGTTAGCTTTGTACAGATACTAAAGCAATGCAACCAACTCTTCTCATAGGAGAACATATGGGCCATCTTAGCTGCTAGTTCCTTATGCTATCTGATTTCATTTATTATGATTATGATTAATTAATATGATTCAGTTGCTTTAGTATCCTCTAGTATGTCAGTTCGCTGGTCATCGGCCAAGGAGCTCCCATTTGCAAATAGTAAACTTATGGTTTATGAGTGGCCAAAAACTCTCCGTTCTTAGCACTCTGCTTCCTTTTCTGCTGCTCTCCAATGGGTACTGCAGAAACAGAAGGTAGATGCAGTAGACTGGGGGCTAGATGGATTTCCAAAGCCAAAGGATTCCTCTCGCAGAAGCTAGCTGCCTGGTCTCATAATACTTCGCTAGACTACTCCTTGAAAGAAGACGGTCTGTTACTGGGAACACACTTGAAGACTTTCCAGCATGGTAGCACTTGCCAGAACTTGAATCCTGCTGGCATAGCCACCCAGAGTCTAGGGTCACCTCCACACTGCAGTGAAGCATCAGGGTTGAAATCATGTGAGCTGTTAATATTGAAATTATTATAATTCAACCCTTTTCTGAGCTCTCAGAACATGCTTAATATGCTCCAAACCCAGCACAGTATCCTAACCATGTTTAATGTTATTCATGCTTTCTGTGCTTTTGAAAGGCTAGACACACTGATAAAGATTGTGCAAGGTTCCCAAAATAGATGATTTTCCAAAAAGAAAGTGAGTATTTCAGAGACAAGTTAGCCCTAAGCACAAAGTCAGGTATGTTATAAAACATGCATGGTGAAACTTGATGTCTTCTTAGATGACATTTACAAACCTAGTTGGCTCTCTTTTTGGCCTGTGGGGAAACATTCATAACCAAGCCCCTTTTCTCCTGCCTTCCATTCTAATTCCACACATGCCATTGCATAGGGTAGATTGTCAAATACCTTCAGTGCCCTTGTTATGTTGGTTTCATTCAGAAGTTGCCATGCCATGACCGTTGAGAGATCATGTCATTCATCATCCTATTTCACTCTGTGAAATGCTGTGTTTAAATGTAAGGAGCCTGGGGCCTAGGGATTGGAGTAGAGCTGCTATAAATTATGATGTATGGTAGGTATCCATGGGGACCACACAACTTCACCTTTGATGCCACTATTCATACACTCTTCATCCTGGAGCACTCCAGAGACAAATAAAATGAAATTGTTTTGGTACCAGTGATGTTTCCTCTTGTGCTTTATGTCCATACTTGCTGATGAAAAGCAAAATATAGTCAATTGAGTCAGAAGCAGTCTCTCTTTATGTGGTTTTCAAAAGATCAAATCCCAATCTGGGAATTACATGGTCATAGATCCATAATACATATGTGTGGGAGGAGTAGCATCTAAATAAAGGAAAGAAACCAATTCCCTAACAAATTAAAATTCTCACAATCACCTTTAGCCTAAAGCTTGCAAAATGGCAGGAACTCAAATATAAAATCTTTTTCTCCAATTTAAATTGAAGCATCCTCTTATAGTATATATACTTAGGATGTCAACATTTTTAAAGAAAAGCTTTTAGGTTAAGTATGTGCCCACATTAAACTGATAATTATCCCTCCTTTTCTTCCTCTATCCCCCTGATATTTCAACATGCTGGATTCTTACTTCATGTTTTATTTATGGCCCAGAATTAATATGCAGATTCACAAAAACTTAAAAACTCATAATTATTCATAAAGGGCTTTAAGGTTATTTAGTACATATTTATGAAACTTTATGTTTTCAAAGAACTCTGTTTGAAAGTTCTACAGAAAGATAGTGAGTAAGGTTAATAACTAGTATTGAGAATAATCTGAAAATGATCAAACTCTTTGGATGAAAATATTTGTCAGCATTTCTAATCTATATTTAAGTGAAGACTTAATGGACATCAATAGCCTTGCAAATATGTTCAGAAATGTCTTGGCAAGAGAGAAGATTTGCATATCTAATGCAAACAGCCAATGAGAAAAAATATCTAGTTAAATACCTTTGATCACTAAGCATATGTAATGAGTGATAGAGATTTATCCTGTCTGTTGTCCATCTGTATTGAGTTAGGTTCTCATAGAAATGTGCTAGAGTCTAAGAAAAACAATATCACCAACTGAAGGTGTCCGCAGTCTATTTTGTATTTTTGAATAAGCAGTTGGAAAGAGTTATACAATTCACTCATTCATTTGTTCAACATTTATTATATTTCTATTCATAGAAATTTCAGTTTAAAGAATCTTAGCACAGTGCTTAGCACATAGTAGGCACTTAATAAATATTATTGAATATCATTATTGAATCAGATTTAGAAGCCAAGGCACCAAAAATTCAAATGAATTGCCCAAGGTCACATTGCTAGCTAGGACTAGAATCCACACCTTCAGTCTCCTAGTCCTCTTTCCGTTTTGCCACATTACTTTCAGGCACACTTTGATTTATGAGAGATAGAAGTTATTTATGGGAAGTAGAACTGTAAGGGTGGTGCTACTTAACCTTTTTTTGATATATGCCTTTCTTTTCATTCCCCTTATAGATAAGAAAACTATAAAGCAAGTGAGACCCAGTTAATCCAGCAGGACCTAGTGAATTTGGATCATAAGGATGGCTGAGAAATATGTTGTGTTTGCTCCTTCTGGAAAATGCACAAGTTCATCAGGAGAAAAAAATGTCATCTGGAATACTGAGTAGGCCAAATACTGATGCTTATTAAACCTAATAAATAAAGCTTTTGAACTTTCATGTTTTATTTTCCCTGGGCATTCTTTTTCATTTTTAACTTAAGTGTATACATACACACACACACACACACACACACACACACACACACTATGCAGGTCCATCTTAATGTTGCCATAATAGTTGCATTAGGTGTGATGATGACGAACAGAATGGAGAGTCTGATCTATTTTTAACACCTAGTGTATATTAAATTATTTGAAATAATGTCTTATTTACCAAAGGCTTATAAAACATAAATATATATTATATAATATACATGAAAACAGAAGCAATGCCCTTCCAATTGTATGGCAGAAAGGGGAGGAGGAGGAGAAAATGGTGATCTTATTTCAGCAGTAGACTATGATACTATAGTAGAATATTTCTCTCACGTCAGCCCCATGTTTGTTTTCTGTAATAACATAATTGCATATTTAACACACTCCAGGATTTTTCTTCCAAAACCTCAAACTTCTTGGAAGAGAAAGGAGAATTTTCCCAGTTACTGATCACTGCTTGAAGGGGGGCGCTCTCATCCAGAATGATCTCCTAAATGAGACAGGGACGTGAGAAGTGCAATTTTTCAACTGGCTCAATAGAACTACCAATAAATATTTAAGCCACCTCAATAGAGACATGACATGCCAGTTTGGACAATGAGCTTATTTTGATTTCATAATATTGGAATAGCCAAATCAGCACTCCAGACATTTGAATTATTAATCAAGAAGGCACAAGTGTGGAATACCTCAACTTATCACCAAAGCTCCCCTTGCTACTATGAATGATATGTCAGTGAAGCATTTTGAGCGTTTTGGGAGAAGCCACTATATATAAATTTGATATGCCTTTGTTCCTTGCAGGAGAAAATAAATGTAATAATTAATAAGCTACATGTAATTAACAAATCTAGATAATGTTCAAAATATAGTACTTGTACTAGACTACTGGTTCCTAATGCTGCCTAAAGAATAGTATAATCACAGGGTATGAGTGTTACACGTTTCGGTTTTGTGTATGTCCACATGGGTTTGTCAACTCATGGGGAGGTTTTGATAGATATTTCAGGAATCTTGCCTGCCCCTCTTTGTAGGAGACTTTGGTTCATGTCAAGAGGGGAGCAAGAGCAGGTGTCCTGAGGCTGGCCATTTTGATTTCCTCAAAGAGATGGGTATCAAATTAGAATTCTATCTTTTTGCACTCTCAAATATTACTAGTCTGGGGGAAATAACTTTTTTCTTTGGTTGAAACCATTTTCCTGGTCAGTCACTTTTCCAAGAGGAAAGGGTACCCTAAGCTTATATTTGAAGGCTCTGCTCCATTCCCATCAAATCCTATATGTTGTTGTCATTCTCTAGACCAAGGGGCAAGTAGTCATTTAGGGAGGCTGATTGATCTATTCCTTCTCAATTATCTTGGATTTCAACTTCCTACTAACCATTTTTTCCTGTCCTTTCCATTTCCAATAGAATCCTCTTTGGAAGAGAAAACAGAGAGAGAGAGAGAGAGAGAGAGAGAGGAGAGAGAGAGGGAGAGAGAGAGAGAGAGAGAAGAGAGAAGAGAGAGAGAGAGAGAGAGAGAGAGAGAGGCACCAGACAGAGCAGAGCAATCTAAGATGTAGGAAGATAAGCAGGAGGAAGTACTCAAGTAGGAGAGGTAGTCACCAGTGCCAAAATCACCAAAATCCAAGAAGGAGAAGTACTCAGAAAATATAATGGATTTAGTAAGAGAAGACATTGGTAATTTTTAAGAGAGGGTTGAGAAAGTGTTGAGCTCAGAAGCCAGATTGTAGAGAATTGAGAAGAGAGTGGGGGAGGGGAGGAAATAGAGGTGGCAAGTATGGCTGACTTTCTGAAGGAGCTTGACCCAAATACATTTTATTTTATGTATGTTTTTTCTCTTTTAGGGTAAGCAATGCATTGTCAGCAGAATTCATATTCTGATGCAAAACTTAAGGAATTCAGCATTAGGATATTGCAGGAAATTATAGTAAGGTACATCTTGATTCAACTCATTTCGTTCAAAGAACTTTTATTAAGTAATTTCTATGTGCAAGGCACTTTGGGAAATACAAAGATGAAAAGCAGAAACCACTGTCCCTGCTATTAGGGAACCCATAGCTTGGTAGTTGCTAGGACAAAAAAAAAAACCACAAATAACAATAATATAAATTGAGATGTCAGAGGAAGGGAATAAGCATTTTTATAGTGCCTATTATGTGCCAGGCATTGGGCTAAGTGCATGATAACTATCATTTCATTTGAGTCTCACAACAATCCTGTCAGGTACATGATGTTATTATCCTCATTTTGTAGTTGAAGAAACTGAGGTAAACTAAGGTGAAATGACTTGCCAGGGATTATACAGCTAGTACATGTCTAAGGTCAAATTTGAACTCAGGTGTTTCTGACTCTAGGTCTGGTGCTCTCTCCACTGTACCGCTTAGTTTCCTGCTAGGTTAAAACAATAGTCAGTGCAATGGAGTGGTTAGAATGCCAGGCTCGGAATCTAGAAGACCTGGATTTAAATTCTGCCTCGGATGTTATTGTTGTTATTGTTGAGTCCTATCAGTCGTGTCCAACTCTTTGTGGAGTGGGACTCCCCCCCCCCATTTGGGGTTTTCTTGACAAAGATACTGTAGTGGTTTGCCATTTCCTTCTCCAGCTCATTTTACAGATGAGAAAACTGAGGCAAACAGGGTTAAGTGATTCGCCAGCTAGTTAATAAGTGTCTGAGGTCAATTTTGGCGTTCTTTCCACTGCACCGCCTAGCTGCTCACTCTGCCTCTGATATAAACTATACAAGACAGATCAAAGCATTTAACTTTAAGGGCCTTAGACAACTGCTAAGTCATCAATGATAGCAATCTGTATTGGTGGAGAGAATTTCCTATGCGCAAGTCCCTCACATAAGGATGAGCAGGATAAGGACAAAAGGAACATTCAAACAAAGTGTAATGAGAAATTTGATAATGGGGAGACCAATTCCAGCCAGGGAATTTTGGGAGGCTTTATAGAGGAAGGGCCTTGAAGGAAAATTTTCATAAGCTGTCAATGGGCAAAGAGTTTGCTGAGAAGTGATATTGAGATAATTTGTTTTAGTAAAGAGGATGACATGAATATAGATGGTCAGCAGATCAAGTTGACTAGAATATAGACATTTGAAACAGGGTTAGAAGTGTCAGTTACAGCCAGATTGTAGAAGGCCTAGAATTTTAAAATAAAAAGTTTAGAATTTATTTGATTAGCAGGCAATGGGGAGCCACAGAATAATTCTGAGTAAAGGAATAATATGATCACAAAGGTGCATTAGATAAATTAATCAGCCTGGGGTTTGACAAAGTATTCAATTCCAACATTTTCTAAGAACCTTTAATATTCAGCACTCTACGAATACAAGCATCAAAGCCCAAACTGTCCCTGTCCTCATGGAGTTTACATTCTACTGATGGTTACAATATGTACAAATATGGAAAATAAATACAAAATAACTTGAGGAGGGAGAGAACATGAAGAACTTGGGAATCAAGAAAAATTTCACATAATGACACTTAGACTGAAAGAAGCTAGGGATAAATTAGAGGTAGAAGAAACCAGAAATAGGGAGAAACTATTAGTAGTATTAGACTGTTATCTAGAATACAGAGTTGATGATGATGGTTTGAGTGGAAATACAAAATGAGAAGCCAGCAATGGTGGCCAGCAATAGTGGAGGCAGAACAAATATGGCTAAGCAAGTGATTGGTTGAGAAAGGTGAGAAAGTTCAAAGATGACTCTGAAAGAAGTTCTGAGCCTCAATCAGTGGGAAGATTGTTGTTATTGCTGTACGTTCTTTGTTTTCAAAAAGGACCAATGACATCATGAGGGTGATGTCTTAACTTGCATGTCAAGTGGATTTAAGTGAGGCAGAGCTGCACAGACCCCTCAGCCTCACACTCTCCTCCAGAGTCATCCAAGTCTAGTGGCAAGACAAAGGTTAAGACAACTGGCAATGACCCAGGATGCAGTGGGTGACCTTGCCTTTTCTTAAGGTCTTTGCCAAGTCTCAGTTTGTCTGAGGCAATGTTCTAAGAGCTACTAAGAGCTAGTAGCATCATCACCAAAGACAAAGAAGTAAAAACAAAATCCCAAACAAAACATAATCAGAGCTGAAAATTATCTTTTTTCAGTTTGGGGATATCGGCTCTAGTAAAAATATATTGTATACCCCCACAAAGGTAAAGCATGAAAGAGCAATGAATAGGCTTATGCTTAAAGAAAAGTCATTGTATTATTGATAAAGTTCAATGACAGTGTTTGGAAGCAGAATGCTCAGCTTGAGAATGTGGAAGGTCTATATTACTCCTTCTCGTTGGCAGGGTCTTGGAATTTAATATACTTTCAAATAGGTTTTAGTATGTGTTACAACATTTTTTGAGCCAAATCCTAAGTTCTGAGGAATGTACATTTGGTGAACAACAGTTCTCAAGATGTTGAGAGGCACCCTAGGCTTGAAGGCAGAAGGTCTGGGAAATCTTGGCTCCTGGCTGCTTCACTTACTAGCTGTGCCTCCTTGATGGAGGCCCTTCACCTCTCTGGCCAACTCTTAGTTTCCTCGATACAGAGATAATAAGATTTGGCACTGTCTATCTCACAGAATTGTTATGAAGTTTAAATTCAATTCAACAAATATTTCTTAAGCACCTACTCTGGGAAAGGCACTATACTATGTACTGGGGCTGCAAAGACAAAAATGAACTACTGCCATGCCCTCAAGGTGCTTACATTCTACTGGCCCAAATGAGATAACATATGTAAAGTAAGTGTTCTGTAACTTGAAAGCACTATATAAATATTATATGCTTTCTATGATTCTGTTCTGGTGTTTCTTAATTGGATATTTAATTAGGAAGGAGTAACAGCTTAAAATAAACCTGTAGTTTATCTCATTAAATTTTTTGTTTGTTTGTTTTAGGCAATTGGGGTTAAGTGACTTTCCCAGGGTCACACAGCTAGCAAGTGTCAAGTGTTTGGTCTGAG